CCGGTAGTCTGAGAGAACTCTGAGAGCCGGAGACCGAACAGACTAGACTTGAATAGTTGACACATCCTTAGGCCTCGTAGTAGTCCCAGAGCATTTCCCTGGTCAGATGATGACAAAGATGGGCATGGCACTAAGCGTCGGTCATCCGATTGAGGGTTAAAGGGTACAGGTTACTAATGGAAGTGCCTATATTAATAAAGGATAAACAAGTCTACCCGGCTGTCAATGTAAGCAAGACATAGTTTTGAGTCCACAGAGATTAGATCGGTATATCTTGCTAGTCTGGAAAAGGTCAAATGAGCATACCGGTCAGATAAGGCTAGGTTAGTACAGGGCACTGAGAGTTGGCAGTCCGATTAGAGAAGAAATGATAGTAGAGAACGCCATAAGGAGAGGAGACGGTCCGGATAGAGAGAGGTGTACTTATCAGGTGTGGAAAAGTCCATGGGGCTCGAGAGGTAATGGGGGCAGAGCACTCGGCTGATCAGCTGAGGCTGAGTTACGGATGACAAATCGTCCGATTGAAGAATGATTGAATACAAACGGCGCTCAGTCATCTGAACGATAGCCAGTAATGTCACAGGAGTCTGAGAGAAGTTGCAAAGCAGGAGACCGATCAGACGAGACAGGATTAGTCGGCGAAACGAGATTGAGTCCAACAGCTAATTTATGGAGGGCAAATGGAGTGGGTCGAGAAGTGAAGGCGTCTATATAAATAGAGGGTGAACAAGTCTAGCATGCTGTCAACGTAAGTGCGACATAGCTTGAGTCTACAGAGTCTAGACCGTTTAAATGTTGCTGGTATGGAAAAGGACAAAGAAGCAGACCGGTCAGATGAGACTAGGTCATTACAGGGCACTGAGAGTTGGCAGTCCGATTAGAGAAGAAATGATAGGAGACGAGACGGTCCGGATAGAGAGAGGTTTACTTATAAGGTGTGGAAAAGTGCATGGGGCTCGAGAGGTAATGTGGGCAGTGCGTCCGGTGTTCTCATCAAATGCCGGTAACGTCACAGCAGTCTGAATGAATTCGGAAAGCAGGGGACCGATCAGACTAGACTGCTTTAGTCGGCACATTGGGAGTAAGCCGAACAGTTAAGGCGGGAAGATAAATAAGGATTCAGCGGAGACGGATAAGTTTGGGATGCAAGGGGCTACATGAATATAAGGTATGCAAGTCAGGCAGGCTCGCAATGTGAGAGAAGTTCTGTGTTAGTGATACAGAGCCTAAGACTACATTGCGCTAGTTAGGAAGCAGTCAAAGTGGATAATAGGGCAGAGCTCTGAGAGCTCGCTATGCGGATGAAGAAGTGATAAAGACAAGCCGCGATAAGGAGAGGACAGAGTTGAGAGTTTACATTTAGGGCTAAGAAATGCGACAGTTAACGTGGCTCTCAAGGTAATGGTGACAGAGCGTTCAGTCTTTCGAGCAATAGTCGGCAGGGTCACAAAAGTCGGAGAGATGAAGGCCGATCAGCCGAGATTGGATTTGGTCGGCGCATTGCGATTGAGTCCTATGGTTCATTTGGAAAGATATGTGGATTCAAAGGATTGGACTGGTCAGAGATAGAAGTAGTTATATTAACATAGGGCGAACAGGTCCAGCAAGCTATCAAAGTGAGGGAGACACTGCTTTGGATCGACGGAGCCTAGACTGCTAACATCCCGGTAGCCTGGTAGCAGTCCCATAGCATTTGGCTGATCAGCTGAGGCTGAGTTACGGATGACAGATCGTCCGATTGAAGAATGATTGAATACAAACGGCGCTCAGTCATCTGAACGATAGCCAGTAATGTCACAGGAGTCTGAGAGAAGTTGCAAAGCAGGAGACCGGTCAGACGATACAGGATTAGTCGGCGAAACGAGATTGAGTCCAACAGCTAATTTATGGAGGGCAAATGGAGTGGGTCGAGAAGTGAAGGCGTCTATATAAATAGAGGGTGAACAAGTCTAGCATGCTGTCAACGTAAGTGCGACATAGCTTGAGTCTACAGAGTCTAGACCGTTTAAATGTTGCTGGTATGGAAAAGGACAAAGAAGCAGACCGGTCAGATGAGACTAGGTCATTACAGGGCACTGAGAGTTGGCAGTCCGATTAGAGAAGAAATGAAAGTAGAGAACGCCATAAGAAGAGAAGACGGTCCGGATAGAGAGAGGTTTACTTATAAGGTGTGAAAAAGTCCATGGGGCACACGAGGTATTGAGGACAAAGCGTTCAGTCTTCCGAATAAATGCCGGTAACGTCACAACAGTCTGAGAGAACTCGGTGCGCAGGGGACCAATCGGACGAGACTAGATTAGTTGGCACGTGCACGTTCCAACCTCAACGTAGCCAAGTGTACTGACTTTGGGTGGATAACATGCACGGAACCTTTTGCAAAAGTTAATTATTTAGGTAAATATTATATATATATATATTTGGCGGAAGCGCCTATGGTGCGCTGAGGCTGGTGGTGGCTAGATCCTGACAGATGGTTCACCTACTGCTGCTACTGTTGTGCCATTAGCTCATGTCCTTGGCGTTTCCGCTTGGCGGCCCCTGGGTGGGAGTTGTGTTTCGCCCTTCTCCCTGCTAAGATCCAGGACATCAATCCACATGAGTCAGTTAACTGACCGCATGCTAGACCCGCTGCCTTTCGGTTGTTCATTTAATCGAAGGCTTTGGCTTAGGACCCGAGTCGTTCTCCCGTCAGGTGTGGGCGCCCTGGCAGTATCCTAGTCCATCCTCTTCGGAGGTTAGGAAGTGGTCGATGGCCCACTTCCCGTAAAACCTAGCCATGGGAGACAACAGGTCCACGGGTTATAAGCTCACAGCTCGTTTGGCGTAGAGCACGAGGGCCACGCATTGTCTCTGACGGTGGGAGAGCACCTCCGGGTGTTCAATGGTTTGCTACTGCCCGCCTCAAGCCAGGCAGCCCCTGGTCAAATTGGTGCAAACCCGCCGAAAACCCACCTGCGTCTGGCCGTGGTCGCAGGTGCGTATCCAATTACGGTCGCAAAACATATGATAACTGTTCCAGAACCTCAAAGGCTGCGTGTGACGGCCGTCAAGCAGATCCCCATCTGTCTCTGCAATCACATTCCCGAGCTGGATCTGCTCTCCACTGCCTTGTGGGTCAGGCTATTGAGCCAAAGGCTCCGGGTGGAGTCCCTCAAGCAAGTCTCCAAATCACCCACTGCCTTGTGGGTCAGGCTATTGAGCCAAAGGCTCCGGGTGGAGTCCCTCAAGCAAACCTCCGAAGCACAACGACCACCTCGCGTGCGATTGCCACCAATGCAATCGTATGCCTGCGCGCAAGGCACTCAGCATCGGGTGCTGGAACGTGCGCACACTACTGGACCGGAACTCCAGTGAGCGCCCGGAGCGACGCACTGCACTGGTCGCGATGGAGCTGGCGCGCTACCACATCGATATTGCGGCGCTCAGTGAAACCTGGCTCGCTGAGCAAGGTAAGTTGCATGAAGCAGGTGCTGGCTACACATTCTACTGGGTGGGCAACGCCGCCTCAGCACCACGTGATCATGGGGTCGGATTTGCAATATCCGATCGCCTCCATGGCCAGCTGGTGGGTGAACCAACAGGCATCAGCGCGCGACTGATGACTGTTCGCCTACGACTCGGAAGAGGTAAGTTTGCTACTTTTATAAGCACGTACGGTCCGACCATGTGTTATCCTGATGACACGCGTGATCAGTTCTACACTGAGCTATCCTCCGTGATACGGTCTGTGCCGAGGAGCGACCGACTATTTCTGCTGGGTGATTTCAACGCGCGCGTTGGGCGTGATGCATCAGCGTGGACAGATGTTATCGGTGCGCATGGCATTGGTTCAGCGAATGCGAACGGTGACAGGCTGCTCTCACTGTGTGCCACTCACGGCCTGACGATCACGAACACTCGGTTTGCACTGAGTGCGAGTGATATAGCAACTTGGACGCACCCACGGAGTGGTCACGCTCACCTGCTCGACTATGTCATCGTACGTCAGCGTGATATGCGTGAAGTGCGCATGACACGTGTACTGCGTGGAGCTGAGTGTGGCACTGATCACAAATTGGTGCGACCAAACTGTACATATATTTTCGTAAATCGAGGTATTGCACTCCCGCCGTGAATCGGCGTAAATTTAACATTCTCTCCCTCGGTACTGTGGCGAAACGTACTGAGCTGGAGAAGGCGATGGCTGCACGCCTGTGTGGTGATGTGGACTGTATAGCCACAGTGGGCGACCTGTGGCACCACATTCGCGACCAGGTGACAGCTGCTGCGGAGGAGACCATCGGGCGCGCAAACTGTAAGCGGCCTGATTGGTTTGATGACAACAATGTGACGATTGACGCATTGGTGTCGGAGAAGAATGCAGCATTTGCTGCACATGTGGCAGACCCCAGTGACTTGGGGAAGAGTAGTCAGTTTCGCAAACTTCGACGGCGACTGACCCGAGAGCTCCGTCGCATTAAAAATGCATGGTGGACGGAGAAGGCGAAGCAGATGGAATGCTACGCCGAACGCCGTCAACACAAGGAATTCTTTGACTCCTTGAAGGCGGTGTATGGACCGAGATTGGAGCCGCTGAGGACACTGATCGATGGTAGTTCAGGCGCTACCTGCACACAGACTGCAGACATAATGCAGATCTGGCGGAAACACTTTGACTGTCTCTTGAACAACCGTTCAGAGATCGACTGGCCTACATTGAACGGCCTGAAGCAGCACGATGTGAAGGCGAGTCTGGCGGACACGCCGACACTGGATGAGACGCAGACAGCACTTGCTCAGCTGCGAAACGGCAATGTGCCGGAGCTCGACGGGATCCCGCCTGAAGTATTGAAACACGGTGGACCCGCGTTGTTGACTGCGCTGCACCACTTGGTGCAACGCGTATGGATTGAGGAGGAGGTGCCTCCTGAGCTGAAGGATGCCCTTGTGCTACCACTGTACAAGGGCAAAGGGAGCAAGCAATGTTGCACGAATTATCGTGGCACTCTCGCCGAGTGTGGCGGACGTGTTTACTGTGCTTCGGCAGTTTTGTGTGATTTCTTCTTGCCAAGTCAACGGAATTTGGATTATTATACACTGTTTTGCTGGAAACTGTGCACTGAATTTACTGAAACAAGAATTTTGGACAAATTTACAACTGTTTTTACAAAAACTGTGACAAACGTTTTCACTTGTCCAACATGTACCGTGAGTCTGACTAAAGTGGTTTTTCCGTAGGGTTTGGGCCACGTTTTTCTTACATTTTATATCCATCTTACGTAGTTTTTTATGCTCTTTCTTTTAAGTCATCTTACGCTCATGAATTTCGTGGGATTAGCCTACATTTGCTTTTTATATGTCATATTCCGGCTGAGCCTCCTACTGCAATGTCTTTTTATAAGGATTTTCTCTAAGGGTATTTTATACCTTCAACATGCGTACATACAATTATTTTGCTATTATTATATACTATATACATTACTTGTGCTTTTTACAAAGTCTTTTTTATGTATGTTGGTTTGTATTCCTAGTAAACTCCAAACTTTTAGCTTCCTCCTGATGAGCCTCCTGTTGATGAACCGACGTTTGATATTGATCGCCCCCAATAGCTTCTCGTCAGTTTAGGCTAAGTTTTGATCAACACTCTACAAAGATTTTGCCGGCCTATCTGACCTATAGGGTTATTGATTGATGCCACATTGACCCCGCATGCCTGGTTTCGCCAACGCTTTATGATCACCATGGGTCTTACGTTGTTAGGGGGGCTTTTATTTTTTTGATGTTTTACAGATGTTGCTGATAAATTGTGATTGAAGTAGGGGTATTTTTCTGAGCTTTCAAGTGTTGTCCACCTACCCGCTATTTTTTTATTTGTTTGTTTTTGTCGTTTTACGCATGCTGCGAACAATATTTGACCTGACCGACTAGCTAGAGAATTTTTATGCTCGTGTTTAGTTCTCAATCATATTTTACTTGGTGTAATTATCCTTCTCGCCTACACCATTTACCTTCCCCTATTCTGCTTTAGCTTTTATTCCTATTTTTCACTTGTTGTGGCCTGAGCCCTATGGATAGTCTCTTTTAGTCGACCGCGGATTCATGCACCGTGCACATATTCACTCACACATCTCACATATGAATTCCCCATCACTGCACATCGACGGAGTAACAAACAACATTCCACAACCAACAATGACAACCTCCGCCATACTTTCGACTTCTCACACCGTGTTGCAAAATTACACCTGTAATATCTGTCACGCTCTTTTCTCGACGGCTGCTGGTCTTACTCGGCATACCGGATACCACAAACGACATCCCAACGATCTACGTATACGCGATGCTCCGGTGACGTCATGCCAACAATGCAATCGTCAATTCGCCTCAGCAAGAGCGCTTACCACTCACTGCCGCCAGGCTCACCCCACTATTTACCAAGACATGCTGTCATCCCGAACGGCCATATCCTCAGTACACTGGTCTGCGGAGGAAGATGCTCAGTTATTACTGCACGCAGCTCATTTAGGCGAATCTGTATCTTCACTAGCACAGCTTCTGCCACTTTTACAAACTAAACTCCCCTTCCGAACGATGACAGCAATAAAGAAACGGCTCCAATTTCTAAAATGGAAACGCCCTCCAGGCCGCCGCCTTCATCGCCACCAACCTCAACAGTCGTTAACACCCACAACGGGTGCAACCGATAATATTACTGAGGACACAACCAGTAACCACAGTCCGGAGCAAAACACACCGAGCTTTCCTGTGATATCCCTAGCATCCAATGAGACCGCGTCACCCACTCCAGAGAATCGATCACATCGCCCCTCTGCTCCAGTTGAGCCTTCCACCGGCTCAGCATCCTCTCGTACATCATCCAGCTTATCATCTGCCTCTGACAGCAACAAAGAATTGGAAGTATTTTATACTTGGAAATATTTTACTCGTCGCCAGCCAGCTATTTCGCACCACCGCTGCCGTCCCGGATCGCCCAACAACCCTTTTATCACCAACGCCCCAGATTTTAACCCCTCTAATGACCCGAATGCCATTTTATGCACGCTCAACTCGATTAACCCCCCCTCACCCCAGCCGCGGATAGAGGCCTATGAACGGCCCGCGGCGCAGGCTCCCACCTGTTTCCCTTTATCCCCTGCCCTGCAGAGTCAGAGCAGTGGATTTGCTGGTTGCTCTTTCAACGAATCAAACGGACCGGCCTCTGCCGACTCCATAGCCAGCTCTCGGAACCGCGTCCACCCGTCACCCACACACTCACCCTTATCACCCATAGCCCTACCATCGGGATCACGACAACCATGTGTACTACTTAATCGCCTCCCTCAGTTGTTGCCACCACCACGACGAAGAGTTTCTCCTGATGAAGCTACTTTATCA